ATTGGGCGAGGTTTCTGGAGGTCAGCTTGTCCAACCCTACTTGCTCAAGGCAGGCATGCATTCACTAATTAGGCTAGAAATAGCAAATTATTTATTTATATTAGCATCAGGACAGCTATGAAAAAGAAGCTCTTTCATGAGAAAATAATCTAGCACCTTGCCATTAAAGAACACCATTTTTCAGTTACCTTTCTAATATATACACATTTCTCTTTACACAGATATTTATACACACCATGTATAAAGATACAAACACGGAAGATGGAAAGAGAAAGAAAAGCATCTATAAATATACATATATATATATATATATATATATACATATATATATATACAAGACATAACATTTGCAAAAGGAATATGCTAATATGAAATGTTTCAAAATAATACTCTTTTCTGCATTAAATAAGGGCAAATCCACAGAGCCTACTAAGAGCAATGAAAGGGGTCATAAGACCACTTGTCTTTTACTTAGACCAACCTTTTCAAGCAGAAGAGTCACATAATGGAGCCTGGATACAAGATGTGACATTTTGAGAACACATCAGTTGCCCCTCAGTGCATTCTGTATGAGYTTAACAAGTCAATGCTAACCTGGGTGACAACTAATTAAGGCACTACTAATGAGGCTGTAAAAATTGGTGTCCTTAGAGATTTCTGATTACTGACCTCTATTGCTCTTTGGTCATTATATGGGGAGAATGTCCCTGAGTGAATGTTCCAAGTAGATTTTCCAGAGCACAGCTTTCTGTGGTAAATAGAAAACAAATGTAGTTAATCATGCAGATATCAGCAAAACATGGGTACATTATGCCTTTGTGTTCATGCAGAAAGAAAATGTGTCTGATGTAGATTGTTTAGATTTACAATAGCTTAATAGAACCAATATTTGGCATATTCAAATACCAAACTCAAACAAATGTTCTSTCACTCTGAAAGCTTTCATATGGTTACAATTTTTGAATTAGCAAAGTGAAAGTTATCTAAAAGGCAACATATTGTTATACTCTAATRGGCCATTATAGCATAACTTATTTAGTTATCTGTTCCAGCTTAAAATCAATTTCTCCAGATTTTGGGCTCAGAATCCCCATAGGGATGGCTACTGTAAAACCTCCTCCTTTCTGAAGAAATAGCCATTTTTTTCTGGGCTATATCATAGAACCATGTATACCACAGGACTTGGCAATGCATCTGAGGAAATGTGACCTGTGCAGGCAGATTTTCCTGTACCTATCATCCCCAGTACAAAAACAGTGTAATGCAAAGACTCCCCTGCCATAGTATATCCTTGARTACAGGACAGCAACAAGACTGATCTGGGCTTATTCAGAGAGAAAATATCTGATCCCAGCACACAGGGAGAAGCTGAGTGAGGCAAGATTGCAGCCAATTGACCTGAAAGGAAAACATCCAAGCTCCTACATTAGTTCCATTGATGCTCTACTGGATGAAAGGTATTTCTATTAGTAAATAATTTCCCTGTGTTTTTTCTCCAGACATTTTATTTTCCTAGTTTAAAGCAGAGAACATGGAAAAGGTTACCTTCTTTATCCCTTGTACATAACCCTTACTCAGAAATGTTGTTTTCTTAGATTCAGAYATCTTTCCCTGACTCAAACTTTAATTGCCCGCAATGTAAATGTCTATTTATGAAACTGTTATTTTAAACAAACTGGCTTTATTGTCAAAGGAAACCAATCTAGGTAGACACAGAGTTTACTTGAGAAGGAAATGCATCTACAGCTTCTCTTCATTGTTATTGCTAGATCTCTGTTGACTACAGAGACACTGCATGATGGTTTTTCAGGTGATTTCTAGAACTAATTCAATTTGTCTAATAATGACACCATTGCTCTGTGTAGTTATATGCAGAAAAAAAATGTTGAAAACATGATCTTACTCCTTTGACTTTTCTCAGAAGGGTTGTTTCTTTTAAGCATCAGACCTCTCACTCTTATGTATCCAAGTGACTCTCAGAATTCATTTTGATCTTCATTTGCAAAATCAGAGCATACACAAGTGAAGAGGTAAAGTTCTCATCCATGAAACTCAGAGACAGCCACAGCTGGAACACTAGACTCAATTTCTTTTTTGAGTTTTATGCTGTCTACTGCTATGCGTTAAAGATTGGCATCAGTGTGCACACCCACTGGATTAAGTTCCAGATATTCAGATTCTTTTACAATTTGGGGGAGAGAAAAAAAGAATTCTGAGTTAAACTGAACACTTATACTGGTCAGATTTTTCAGCGCTGCGAAATGATCTGGGTATCTGTGATTTCTACATGCATACTGCATATGATCTGTGACTTTTCTTGGTGACTTCTTTTTCAAAACTGCTAAAAAGCTTTTAAAAAGTCTTCTCAGGCTTTTTTTTTTTTTTTTCCCTCAATATAGTTCTAATATAGAGATGTCTGGAATAAGTCATTTGAAGTAGTGTCAGAAGAGGAGTGACTGTGTCCCGGTTAATGCATGCTCTTTATGTATGTCAAACAAATAATTGTTTCCCTTCAAAATGCAGTGCACTGTCTCCTAGATCATGAATATGCCATTTATTCCTTTTATTCTAAGATTTTATTTTAGAAAGAAAACCAGAAAGATTTATCACTGATTCAGTAAGAGTCATCTCAGAAACCTTAGTTGTATATAGGTTATCTTATCAATCCATGGTTATATGACTTTTCTCTTATAAAATCATCAAACCATTATGCATGTTTTTCTTTCTTTTTTTTTAAAAAAAAGTAAAGATATCATACTATTAAGAAAAAATAAAACATAACTGAGATTATATTCAAGTTATTATTTACATATTATTTAGGTAGGGTTTGTGGTCCATAATGTAAAATTGTTGTTGGAATCCACCTACAGAACAGAATTGGAGGTTAAAACCTCCAATTATGCTCCAAAGACTGCATATTTAATAATAGTAGGATAAAATACATCAAAAATACTTGGAGCAGGAACCAGAAGCTGGAAGTATCTTCTCTCCCAGATAAGGACTCTTGTCATTGGTTTGTTACAGCTGGYTTTCCCCTTTCTCCCATGTCTTTGCAGAATGTTCCATTTTTGCCATGAACATGAGAAACATCTTACTGCTGTGGYTTAACTGGTGATTACGACAGTCTCCTTGACAACAGAGCAATGTGTAGCTGCTTCTTCAGATTAGTCTCAGACGATCTAGTAGCTACAAGCGAAAGTATGAAATTATGTGATTAACAGAGGTGAAAACGTTTATTTAGCCAAGATATATACAAGAGACATGCAATCACATTTTCCTCATTGGCTTACATTTTGCAAGACAATGATGACCAATTAAACCTTTCTAAATGAAATTCATGAAACACTAATTGCAGAAGGACATTTCTTGACTGTTTTCTTCCATTTTCATATACATGCTAACTGAATWCTGAGAGGAAATTGCTATCAGCAAGATAATCCATTCTTTATTCACATGAAAGATCTAAGAAACTGTTGCTTAGAATATGATGTGATGTGTACAGAAACTGCATCTTTCAGACATTTTACTGARGCTCTTTTTGAAGCTATCAGTGCTCTACTCTTGGAGGTAGGGCACTGGAAATGAAAAAGCTTGATTAGCAGCCTACACTGTTCTCTTCGGTTACCAATATAAACACAAAACAGACCTGCAAAATCTTCAGACAGTAAGAGTGAAGTAGGACTTTTCAGTGAGCCGTCTCACCTAAACTTGCAACTCCCTAAAGCCCTCACAAATACTCAGGCATGGCTTAATGACTTCCCTGGGGTGCATCTCTGCTGTCTTCTGCTGCGCAGCGTGTGGGGCCCCGAGGCCTGCAGCATGCTGCTTGGTATTGCTTGGAATACATCAGAGATCCCATCTGGAAAGTGCACTCATTTCTTTTGCAGGGAAACTGGAGCATGTGTGGAAGTGTGGGGAGGAGAAGAAAAGTTTGGAGAAGAGCTGGTGCAGGGCCTTTTCTTGTCCCATCAGGATAACCTGATGCATCATCTRTGCTTGGGCTTTGCTTTCTATAAATCAGGGCTCCGAGCCTGAGTCATAAGGCAGCACTCATGACTCATACCTCATCTTTCACTGCTTCTTGCAAATGGAAACCTTTAAGCTTTTAAATATATATTTCAAGATTGACCTGAGAATTAAAATCTTGGAGGAAGCCTCAGGTGCATCCTTTATTACACTGGTGTTGKGTATTGTATCATGCTGTTTTCCTTTCTTACCTTAAATAATTTAATCTTAACTGACTTCAAGCAATTTATCACACAAAATGAACTTTTTTTAACTRTGCAAACAAATAGAATGCAAATATTTCCCAGATTGGCATGCAGAGCATTTGTCACATCTTGTGACCATATAACAGCAGTATGCTACATATAAACAAGAAGATAAAATCCCTTGGCAATGTATCAGTCATCACTTATCACCTCTCTCTCAAGACAGAGTGATACAAAATTGCTTAATAATCACCTGCTGCCTTTTTTTAATTCCAATTAATAAGCCATACTTAAAAGTTCTCCATTAAGGTATAATGTAGTCCTCCACAATGTTCTCCTCATGACTCAAGGGAACATCTGAGAATCTTGTGAAAAGAGGTTTTGGCCTATTTGAACAGGAGTATGTTTCACTARTATATCTCTCAGCATCCACTGATGAGGGAAATTCACATAAGTAATCAAAAGAAAATTCCAGTACCTGTTTGTGCTGACTTTGACCCAATCTGTTGGAAGCATAAAAATCCCTCTTCAAGACTGCAGTTTTTGGAAAATACAGTACTGGGTGTACTATG